AATGACAGACAGTAGTGTGCAGTCAAGACCATCAGACTGAATACGATACGATCGGCGAAGAAGGAAATATTTCTCAGGGTAGTATGGGAATTATAACATCGTTGTTATAAAGTGGGATTGATCCTCAATCCTACTTTTTATAATGATAATAGGTTATCGATAAAGTAGGTAGTATTTTTTTGTCAGAAACAAAAGTATTTCTTTACAAATATATATTTGTTTGTCATCCTAGTTACGCATTTAAGTAATATTTTATCCAAAATCATCATGATACTGAAAACTTATTGAGAACTTAATGTTTAGGAGGAATCTACAAAACTGAATAATTAATTCAAAAACGCAGTAATAATGTTTGTTATGAATTTCGTGCAAAGTTACACGAGCGCTATCTGCGCTAGCCGTCCATAATTTAGCAGTGAAAGACTAGAGGGAAGGCAGCTAGTCATCACCTCCACCGCCAACTCTTGAGCTACACTTTTACCAACGAATTATGGGGTAGACCGTTACGTTATAACGCCCCCACGGCTGAAAGGGCAAGCATGTTTGGTGGGACAGGAAGTCGAACTCACGACCCGCAGATCGCGAGTCGAGCGCCTTAATTACCTGGCTGGCCCGGCATATGATAGCCCTGGTGTAGCTTTGCGCGAAATTCAAAAACAAACAAACAGTTACCTGGCCATGCCAGGCACGCAGTACTAGCAAATTTTACAATAGGTAAGCTTTTATTCTTGTCTACTCTAAAAGTCTTTGCTATTGTATTTTTTAATTAAATATTGAGAAACCTATAAGATGCTAAGGTTTGGTGACGCCATAGACCTTGTCATTGTAGTGATTTCAATAGTTTAGATCTAAAAACAGGAAAGAGAAACTAAGAAAATATAAGAATTGTATTAGAAACAACCCTAACACTAACAGCTAATAACCATTTGCAACTGATATGTCTACCAGTATTTTTAGAGAAGATAAGTCGATGTAATAATTGAAGTTTTTGCTCTCTCTGAATTCTTGTTGGATCCTGCGCCGATTTCATATAATTGAAAATTTCCTTCAGAGAGTTACATATTTTTTTTTGGTCATAGACTACTGAATATTCAATTGTTTGAGATTTTTAATTAAAAATATCAAAAGCTTTTGTCAAAATGAATTGTAATAATAATAATAATAACAACCTATAAAGATGTTCCTTACCTTCCCGGAGGATCGCCGTTTTCGTCAAACTTTACCATTTCGTTGTTCCAAGAAAAGCTGACGTTCATAAGATACTGAAGAAGTACAGAACCATTAATGGGAGACATATTTGCACATACTCCATGTGTTCCTTTACACATATCCTTTTGCATATTATGTAGGCCATAAGCCATCGTATAAATTGCTTTCTTTACAAACTCCATCTTCGTGTCTTGTTTATATCCATCTCTCAGGTTTTCGTTTCCTGATATATATATAAATATGGAAAATAACATTTGAAGCGACTCATGGATCTATACAAACAAACGTTGGTATTATCAATAAAGTCCTACAAAATGACTTATCTGATAATGTATATAGAAAGTGTGGAGTTCAGGAGTTATATAACTATTTTAAGCCGGCTGTTACGAGATTTCAACATGCCAGAAAGCTATCAAGATTTCAAATTGAATATTTACAAGTAAACATGTAACTCTCAATCTTAACTTACTTGTACATGATGTTGCTGAAATATGTTAATTTTTAGTATAATTTATACATATATTCTTAAACTTGCTGTTATAACCTGATGATGATGACAAAACCTTGTCCAAATGTTGTACATTTGCTGTTATGTTAAACTTATATTAAAGTTTTTTTTTTCATTACCCATTCAAGCCGTCTCCAAGCATTATGCAGTTACAGTGCTTCTAGCTAATCGCACTGGTATATCATAATGGAATTTAAGTTTCACTTACTTGTATATCAAATACTTTCGTCACTCAAACAATGATAATTTAAACTGATTTGGTAAAGATAATTCTATTGTGATGAACTTTATAACGGAAATATATATATATAATCCCTTCACTTATTTATAAATATGTAATGATAATGAAGGTAGTACATTATTGTATATAAATGATCCAGGGATACGATATTGTTATGTAAAATAGATGCACAGGTTTCTTGGATAACAGTTTGAAATAAACTTCCATTAACAAGATGCGTTCTTGTATTCGTTAATATATCTGTCTATAGCAATAGTGGAAGGGAACAGGAAATTATTCCGAAGATGTAATGAGAAAATAATAACTGTTAATAATAATATTGGCATCCTAATGACAAGTGATAACTATAAAACTAGCTACTTGTTCCTAGATGTAACAGTTACTGGGATAAATATGCATACACATGAGACTATAGAGTAGAATAGAGTTTCCAGTTTGATTGTATCCCAGTAACTGTTACATCTAGGAACAATCAGCTAGTTTTATAGTTATCACTTGTCATTAGGATGCCCAATCAAACTGGAAGCTCTATTTTACTCTATACTCTCATGTGTATGCATATTTGTATTCAATAAGACTTTATCAAGATTGTTTATATATATTACGTCAAAATTATTTGTTGCATGATTTAACTGAACTTACTTAAAATTGCCGTCTAAGAAGGCCTGGCATGGCCAGGTGGTTAAGGCGCTCGACTCGCAATCTGAGGGTCGCGGGTTTGAATCTCCGTCACACCAAATATGCTCGCCCTTTCAGCCGTGGGGGCGTTATAATGTGACGGTCAATCCGACTATTCGTTGGTAAAATATTAGCCCAAGAGTTGGCGGTGGGTGGTGACGACTAGCCGCCTTCCCTCTAGTCTTACACTGCTAAATTAGGGACGGCTAGCGTAGGTAGCCCTCGTGTAGCTTTGTGCGAAATTGAAAACAAAACAAACAAAACCGTCTAAAAGATGCAAACAAAGATCTGCTTCGTGTGTGTATGTGATATGGATTATAAAAGAAATAACACTATTCAACATGTTAAAAGAGCTTACACTAAATAATTGCATTTTTTTATTAAGTACTTTTAATGTTAGTTTATAAGTAATATATATTGTGAATTTGAGTAATTTCTAAGAGAAAATTGAAGTTGCCTTCTTATAACAATTATCCAGAAATAAACCAACTTAATGGTCTTACGGTTTCAAAATATTTGATTTTTACACAACAAGGTTTTTCTGTAGCTTGTTGACACTTATAATCCGTACATAAACTTGAAAAAAAAAACGTTCAAGAAAGTATTCACAACACAAAATAATTCAAGGGTTATTGAAATTTGTGTAACTTTTAATAATGACAAGGTAAAAAAAATCACTCTTATACGCCAGTATGAGACATCCCTTCAAAGCACCTTTATGCAAATCAGGCATCTGATAATCCGTCATGTAATCTCAAATACAGATGATTGGTCAATCAGTAAATTAACATTTCGTAGAGACGATATAAATTTTCTACAATTCATAACATTCCACCTCAAAATAAACAATAAAGGTATCCTGGCACCGATGTTGCATGCTTCAAACCAGAATGTTGATAGAATCCTAAAGTATTATCTATCTCGGCTTCAAACCAGAATGTTGATAGAATCCTAAAGTATTATCTATCTCGGCTTCAAACCAGAGTGTTGATAGAATCCCAAAGTATTGTCTATCTCTTCCAAGAAAGAGTTGTTTTCAAGGTGTCTTTAATGCCTGGAGTCACTTGACGGGATACGACATCTCTCCTTCCCATTAGCGTTCATTATATGTTCGATTGAACTGAATTCTGGTGAGCGTGCGGATCACTTAATTCAGTCAATTCCCACTTCTTCGACAAATGTATGAACCAGTTTACAATGTTGGAACTGGAGTAATCGTCCGTTAATGTTGACACAGGGCCAATATTACAGGAGCATTAGGCAGCAGTAATGGTCGTAACAGTATTAAGAGTACCACTCCACAGGATGTTAAGGTCGTTACGTCAAACAATGTTTATTCCTGCCCAACAAAACGTCTAAGAGTGCCATATGTGTCACGTTTCTATACTAAAATGGGATTTCCCATCTGGTTCCAGGTTCTCTCCAAATGAGTATACGTCTATTACTCGATTCCAGAATAAAGCGCAACTAATCTATAAACAGAATATTGTTCCACATGTTAGTGTTCGTGATATGAGTTCTTAGCAGTAGGCGGAATGCACCTCATTAGACATCTGACACACAAACTTGTTTTGTGAAGTCTGTTGTGATAATCTTTGTGCTAATGCAAGACCAAAATCTGACAATAGTTTGTTTTCCTGAAATTCGCTAAAAGCTACTCGTAGGCTATCTGCGCTAGTCATCCCTAATTCTGAAGTGATATGCTAGGGGGAAGGCATCTAATCAATATCACCCAATACCAACTCTTGGCCTAAAGCTTTACCAACAAATAATGGGATTGGACAACATATTATAACGTCTCCAGAGCTAAATGGGGCAAGCATGTACGATAAGGGGATTCTACCCCACGACCCTCAGATTGAAAGCCGAGTGCCCTAACCATTGAGCTATGCCAGGCTTTTTGTCGTTAATAACATCTGATTCTCTCTCGGGGTACATACTAAATGATTGGAATGAGACAGGATCGATATGTAGCTGTCGTCTGCTTGTGTTGTGAATGACGGTCTGCCTCGTCCAAGTGTCTGAGCAACTATATCATTTTCTTTAGAAGTGACTTCTAATTTAAAACACTTGTAACGAATTCGCAATTGTCTGCTGTGATTGGCTGGCTTCCATTCGTCTGACGGTTCAGTGGTCTAACCATGGTTTATAAAAAACAAAACAAAAAAACTTGAAGTAGTTTAAAGTCCGCGGTTCATTCTAAAGGACAACTTAGATGAAACTGCTGAAATCACTAAATATATAGCATCCGCTAGCTAACCAACCAATCAGTTGGTTTTCAGATGACGTCACTAACCACAACTTACCTGATTTGAAAATAATTAACTGATTGACAATGTTTTATAAGTGTTTCTTTCCTTTCATAGTTATAGTTTAGAAATTTCTATTACAATTTGATTATATTATGTCATGTATTTATTTATTTATTTGTAATGTAGTATCCGAGGTTGGGATTTTTTGTCTTTTTTTGATATTACATACAAGTTAAAAGCAGCTAAATCTAGAAAATATAACACGTTTTACCTACAAATGTCCTTCTGAAATCTGTCTTACTCACTTTAATAGAATTTGTATTTCTGGTTTAGTTTGTTTGGAATTTCGCGCAAAGCTACACGAGGGCTATCTGCGCTAGCCGTCTCTAATTTAGCAGTGCAAGACTAGAG